AAATCAGTTAAATGACGAAAAATTAGGTGTCTATTTACTTGTGACCACTCAGTGTACTTAGCCTGTTTGACTTGCTCATTGTTGTAACAGGTAATCTCCTGCCGCCAAACTCTCTCGAAAGTTCCGTCTATACGTGATGAGAAATCCAGCATTGAATATGGAGACAGTGCCCATCATCAAAACACACTTTACACAGTCTTTTATTGAATTTTATAACAATTCAAACCAGAACTTCTACGTTCAATTCATTCTTCACAAAAATATGCCCAAAAAGTTTCAGTGTAACACTAACACCTAAAAGTAATCTTTGTGAAAATGTTCTGGATTCTAAAATAAACCCAGCTATAAAGTAGCCTATTTTAAGATGAATTGGATAAAAGGAATAATTAAAGATTCCCTGGATGTATAACTTAACTATTTTTGCTCATCTATCACCAAAAAGTAGTTGATATTGTTTCAAAAACGATTCCAATGTTAATATATTTGGAAATATTGTGGAACAGTTTGATAAATTTAAAGTCATTTAAATATAAGTTAAATTATTTCAAGTTTGTAATAACCACTTTGAAATTAAGAGAAAAGGGGCAGGAGTGTCCCGATTCTTCGGTTTGGAAATCTGGTCACATGAGTAGGTGTAAACGTTTTATAAACTTTTTGGTGCTGCTGTATACGTCACCTTTTGTAGTTTTGTCCGTGGAAAAGTGACAAACTTGGGAAAGATAAAGAGATTGGAGCATTGAATAAAAATATTAAGAATAAGAGTGATCTGTTTTGAACGTACAGCAAACTTTATTGGTTAGTTGGTTCTCATTATAAATTCACCCAAGAGATGGCGCAGTAAGAAGGAGTTGTCACCTTGATGTATTAATTAACTAATGTTGTCTAAAAAATACAGTTATATAGAATGTTTTAATGTTAGAAAATGTATTGAGGCAGGAAAGTCAAAACCACAAAAAACTGAATTACTTAAAATTCAGAAAAGAAAAAATTATCCGTGCTTTGGTAAATCACTGTAATTATGTTAGTTTGGGCCAAAGTAGGATTATTATTTTTTTTTTACATTTTAAGTAACTCAGTTTTTGTAGTTTGATATTCTTGTTTCAATACATTTTGTAGCATTAAAATGTTCTATATTACCATAGCTAGGTAGGTTACATTATATCAATCCTTACTTCCTTTCCTTCTTATTGGCTATATTTTTGTGCGCCAGAAATACCATTCGATTTTATTACTCATCACGATCTCTACCAACCTACCCTCAAATCTAATTATATGCCCAAAGTAGCGCAACGTCCGATTTATAGAAATTAATGAAAACTCTATAACTCCTATTGCTTTAACGGTACGAGCTAAAATTCAAGTTTCTATATACGTGGCAGGCACAGCACGGATAGCCAATTGTGTAGTTTTATGAATAACAACAATCAAACCCAACTAAACATTGTTTAGAATAATATTTAGAATTAATGACTGGTGTTAAAAGGCACGTCTTTAACATCTTCACGATGTTACTCTCGTTTCCAGTCATTCCTGAGCATTGTTCATTTTCTCTGGAACATTCTGTGCAGGAGAAGAGATAGATCGGACGACTTGGTTTTTATCGTGGCAGCTGACTGAAGGGAAAAAATGAAAAATCATCTGATGCAAATGTCTTGTAGTGGATTAATCTGTTATCACTTTATATACGTATCAGAGTAGATGTATAGTGGATTAATCTGTTATCACTTTATATACGTATCAGAGTAGATGTATAGTGGATTAATCTGTTATCACTTTATATACGTATCAGAGTAGATGTATAGTGGATTAATCTGTTATCACTTAATATACGTATCAGAGTAGATGTATAGTGGATTAATCTGTTATCACTTAATATACGTATCAGAGTAGATGTATAGTGGATTAATCTGTTATCACTTTATATACGTATCTAGAGTAGATGTA